TTCACCATATTCAAAAAATAAGGAACCGATTTTCAGTGAACATTTGGGAGTCGGTTATTTATGTAAGCAGCCGTAAGTACTGCTTCACCCAAAGAAATTTGGTAATTTTTGCCTCAAGTTATTTCTCTAGCTTTTCGTACAGTTCTATTTGTCGTTCAGCAACACACCATTTAGAAAAGGTGTATATGGAGGTGCAGGATTTATTTTTACACCTGCTCTTTTAGCAACTTCCTGCAATTCTCCACTGACATATTCTTTCGCATTGTCACAGCACAGTTTTGTAACAGTTGGATACAATTTAAAGAATAGCTTGATTTCATCAGCAATGTCACTTTTTCTTTTGAGCAGTCTGATTTCCATAAATCTCGAATAGTCATCAATTATAGTCATGAAATACCTTTCCCCATGGAGTGTTTGAGGTTCTACTGGACCACATATATCAGTGTGTATAGTTATAAGCGGCTTGGATTCTTTTATGCGAGGAACCTTTCCTATAGGGAAAGCACTTTGTTTGGCACGAACACATACTTCACAAAAGGATTCTTTTACAGGAAGATTCATTAGTTTTAATTTTTGATCACAGCAGTGTCCTAACCTTCTGTGCCATAAATCTCATTATTTACTGCTAAAGCTGTAAATAAATCGGAAAAAATCACTAAAAATATTTCCGCATTTGTCCAAGTATACAAATCTAAACGCTTGTTTTTGTTTCAATATAAACTATTTCATTTTAAAAATTACACTCAAACCTGCTGCTTCAATATTTTGACAGAAATTAATTGTCTGTTTAATTTGGGGAACGTAAAGAACATCTTTTAATATTATTTCAACACCGTTTCTTAGTTTTACCGCAATATCACCAATTCCTCCACTTCTAAAACCGTCGACTAGACGCGCACTTAACAGTTCCAGTCTTGGCTTAATTGAGGTAAACCATTCCTTGTGAGAAGACATATGAGAAGTTTGCACCCAGAATCAAGAAAATAATTGATAATGACACAAGATTTCCAGCCATGAAATATTGCAGGGATGCATACTATTACTATTTGAATTTGCCTGCTTTTAGAATTATCAAACATCACTTTTAAAATGGACCAGTTTCCCACGTTTAGACAGACGCAGTTCTTTTCCTACAAAATTTAACAGAATCCTTTCTTTTACAATAAGTACAAAACAAGTCTTACGAGCACTAATAAAAACAGAGTTATCTGTATTTGTTTAGAATACTTATTTTATTTTTATAATCAAAATAAGAGATTCAGAATCAATAAGTCTACTTGTAACAAAATCTAAACTTCAAATTATTGCTTGGCTGATTTTCGAGAGATGCCTTAATACTTTCATATTCCTTTGGAAAATACATTAAAATGTAAATAATAACATCAAAGTCACTACTTCAGAGCCAGAGACACGTAGACTACTCACCAGGTTATTATGTGTAATACTGTCTCATTGGACATCCTTGGATTTCCTTATGGTAGCTTAGACGTTTACGCGTTAAAATTTGACTCACTGCACCCTTTAGCGCTATACGTAGCTTGTAGTTTCTTCCATATTTTACATGCAGTGTCTTTACGTTGAAGAGAAGCAATAACATTATCACTTAGAAGCGCAAGTATTAAGGCATAAGCCTTTTTTGATTTCAAACACTGCAACTCTGTCCGCAATTGCTTCTGTTTCCAAAAACGTATCAATTCCCTTGCCCTAATACTGCTCGAACTCTTCGACACCAAACAGTAAAGTTATTAACACCGTCAAATGGCGCACACCAAAAGCTTCCCTTTACCTCCGGAAAACCATCATTCACAATACACCAAATCAAAATCACGCGAACGATAAATTATTACACTGAAGGTTCAATTAGGAAAATATCAGCGAATTCTAACTTTTAAGGACCACGCTCTGCTCTTACATAGAAAATGCCGTCGTCGTTCGCAAGCCAAATATTTATTACTGAGATATGCAGAGAATACACCAGTTCATGCAAGCAGAAATAAGTAAGTACAACACTAGCGCCATAAGTCTTCTTTTTCTTCTTCTTCTTTTGACGTTACAGAGGTCATATGTATAACTTTATAACATATCATGGTTTTACAAATCATAAACAAGACACAATAAATAACCAATCAAGTAACATACAGAAGATAAGTTTCAGAATACTCGTACCTGGCTGAAGCTAATGAATGTTCGGACGTGACAAAAGCTATATTCCTTTTAACCATAAGAATGCGATACAAATATCTCAACAGATAGTCGTCATTGTTTTATATTTTTTATATTTAAAGAATTGGTCCAGAAAGAGTTTTCAATCACAGCCTGCGTCCCTCCATAAGCAAGATCCTGGAACGTTAATTATCTCAGAATGCAAGAAACTTGGACTTTCTCGTTGATCACCAGCACGGTTTCCGGAAAGGACTTTCGACCACAACGCAGTTAGTCAGGCTCACGGAGTTTCATCGGCGCGGCTATGCACAACAGAATGAGTGTTGCTATCTGATGCTAGACGTGGCAAAGGCTTTGACCGCGTCTGGCATCCAGGGCTAATCTATAAGCTAATTCATCTCGGTCGCCAGAAATCTGATACTCATTATAAGTCCTTCCTTGAAATAGAACTTGCACCGTTAGAGTTGGAAAGCAGCTTCATGTGCAAAAATATTTCGCAGGTATTCTCAAGGGTCAATTTTAGCCCGCTTTTTTACATCATCTATACCAAACGATTCCCATGCTTTCGAGGATACAAATGTTCTCAGCCAGCTACGCTGATGATACAGCGATAGCCACCAAGTATCTAAACCAGAGTATGCCTTGTCAAGAATCAGGCCAAAATCCCTGCTATTGAAGGTTGGTGCAGTCGCTGGAAGAACGTCCATTCAGCCAGAAAAGTCCAAGATTCTACTCATTCGAAATCGCAGACAGAGGAAAAGGGTCAGAACTGAGGTTAACGTTTGGCAAAATCATCCCTACAGTTTGATAAAGCTAATTACCTGGAGTTACCCTTAACAAGAACGCAATTGGAAGGATCATGCTTAGAGTAAGCGGAAAGACACGGAATATTTTCGGCTTTTCCCTCTCCTAAAGAATGAAACCTCACCCCTCTGAAAAAGAGGATTTATGAAACTGTAATCCGACACATTCTCACGTATGCTTCCCCATCCTAGGCAAACTACACAGCAAACGAAATTAGCAAACTCCAAGTGCTTCAAAATAGGTGCTTAAGAATCACACAAAAGCTCCTTACTATTTTCGGAATAAACCTCCACTCTGACTTGAAAATAGATACTATTCAGGACTACCCAGCAGAATAAACACAACTTTTTTAATAATATTATCAATGTGAATCCCGCTAATTTCGGACATTCTTATCTCGATCCTGGCTGAAGACACAAACCTCCGCCATTCGCCCCGCCATCTCTTAGTTCAGAATGCAGCATCAATCGGGTCAGTTTTGGGGAGGGTGACTTTCCACGTGACTGGCTCCGACGAATGGAACATTTGTATTGGGCTATCCTACACAGGTCATCCGAAGTTTTCTATCTCCGCCCTGCTGGATTCCATCCAGATGTAGCAGTACAGGAGCAAAGTGCTTCTTTTCTCTTTCTCTCTCTCCAGCACACTTCTACCTCCAAGAGAGAAAATTTCTCAGGTTTCTTTGTCAGGCCCCACATGGGATCACATCAGGAACTGGCAAGAGCAGGATTTTAATTTCCTGCTGAAAGCCAGTATAACCGCAAAGTTCCAAAGCGTTTCAAAGTAAATTAAGCTTTTTCTCTCAATGTAATTCATTTCAGTTTAATTTCGTGGGTTGTGAGTCTTTTGAAACATCATTTATTCAATACATTTGGCCTGCAACATTCATTTAAGTAACCAATCATATCCTCATCAATCATCTATCACCAATAATCCTATTTAAGTAATCAATCATATGTATATTCTCTAAAAAACCACTTGTTTAACCAGTTCTCATTTTCAAAATCAAAACGTCACATGCGCTCACACATCTAGACTTTACAACAAGAACTATATCAGTTGGCTTTGAGGACTCCAATTTCGACATCGTTGACTTGAAATAAGTGGGACCATTCAGTAAGCAAGTTTAGGTAGCAAGGTTTATTAAATACCTCGAAGAGGCGTTTATTAAAAGATCTTATTAAACACAGCTTCGATTGCATTTAGTGTCCTGTCAAATTAAACGGCGAAATTTTAATAACAAACTCTTCAGTATGTTAGGCCATAAACTGAAGTTTTCATAATATAATTTTGTATATTATTACCAAAATCCTTTCAGAGACACAGGATTTTTAAAGCCATACAGGTACTATTTGAGGAAATTTTATAATAGGAGATAATAAAGCTTAAGAATTGGATTAAAAAATCTTTGATTTGGCTTGATTATTTTAATATGGCTTAGGGCTCTCTGCTTAAGCGGAGTGCCTTTGTGAAGCTCGCTTGTATTCACATTACATGAATACAAGCAAGCTTCAGATGGGGGAATGAGAAATCTTCCTCGCTGTCCGCAAAGTTTAGATTGCAGTTTCTTTTTTTATTATTTTTATGTTATATATTATTTGGAATATTTTGTAATGTGTTGAATTTTAACAGTACGTTCTTGGACGTGTTAGACTAATTTTAAGTTTGCAGAATGTAGTACTTTGATGTTACTTTAAAAACCATTTCAAAATCACAGAATTTCCAGAGACCTAAAATTAATATTGTTTTGGAATGTTTCGTAACACTAAAATGTTTTGAAACTATTTCCATAATAAAGAAATCAAAATCAATTAACAGCAGAGAAAGCACATAAATTTAATTCTGAAGTATTACTGCAATTGCAATAGCGTATTCATTGGCGTTAATTCGGAGATTATGCCAGTTAAATTGAAATTTTTGTAACAAATAACATTGTAATGATTGTATTTCCTTCTCGTGCTTGCCATATGAGTGATAAATGTTTGAATATTAGCACGTGATATGAAGGGGAAAATTTAAGCCATGACCTAGACCAAGAATGCAAATTTATACAGCAAATGATGCTTTGATTTCTTTAAATGTTTATTAGATTAAATAAATACATAATCTTTCCCACTGTGCTGATAAGGTAAGTAAATAATTTTAAAGTAAAGTCACGGTTAATTGATTTTGATCATTGTGTTCCTTTGCAAAAAATAGAGCATTGCTCTAAAATTATAGTTCTGGTTTCAGTCATTCAACTTACTGTAATTTATTTACTCTTGCTGTTAACAATCTAATGTTACATTTGAAACAAAATTTGAATGCTAGATTGATTTTACAAAATTTTATAATATTTATTATATTCCTAAAAAACCACTTGTTTAACCAGTTCTCATTTTCAAAATCAAAACGTCACATGCGCTCACACATCTAGACTTTACAACAAGAACTATATCAGTTGGCTTTGAGGACTCAATTTCGACATCGTTGACTTGAAATAAGTGGGACCATTCAGTAAGCAAGTTTAGGTAGCAAGGTTTATTAAATACCTCGAAGAGGCGTTTTATTAAAAGATCTTATTAAACACAGCTTCGATTGCATTAGTGTCCTGTCAAATTAAACGGCGCGAAATTTTAATAACAAACTCTTCAGTATGTTGGCCATAACTGAAGTTTTCATAATATAATTTTTGTATATTATTACCAAAATCCTTCAGAGACACAGGATTTTTAAGCCATACAGGTACTATTTTGAGGAAATTTTATAATAGGAGATAAAAAGCTAAGAATTGGATTAAAAATCTTTGATTTGGCTTGATTATTTTAATATGGCTTAGGGCTCTCTGCTTAAGCGGAGTGCCTTTGTGAAGCTCGCTTGTATTCAATTCATGAATACAAGCAAGCTAATTTTGTAATTTCCGAATATCATATATATATATATATATATATTATATACTCACTTTCATATGCTTATGAACTGAATAATACCATAAAAAAACTCAAAAAAACAGAAATAAAGCTTGAAAAATTTACATAATTTATTGCCCCTCCCAAAAAAACAGAAGGTATAATATGTATGTATATATATATATATATATATATATATAAACATCGAGAAGTAAGTTGATGATTCACAAGACCAAAAAAAAAAAAAAAAAAAAAAAGGGGGGGCAACGATATTTCATGGAAGTTAAAAATATGACTGCTTCCAGTAAATCAGTATTTAAAATATAAAATGATATTGGAAGACAAATGTTCTGAAAAACTGTAAAAGAAATACTCCTTTGATTTAAAATAAATTATTCATTTTTTGTTTCAGTGATGCATTTAAACAGTTGAAAAATGTTTGATGCGTTTGCTAGCAAAAACTTTTATGTCAGTCCTGTTATAGAAAATTGTAAAAGATGTATTTCATTACTTAAATGTTAAATAATTAATTTAAATAGACATTGGATTGCTGTAGTAAATACGTTTTGTAATCTATTTTTCCAATGGAAAAATATACATTGTTTTAGTGTTCGCTGGTATTTATTGCTTACCGCAAGCAACTGATTTCGTGATACTTAGGTATAGTTTGTTTTGGTTTATTTATGGCAAAGCAATTGAGGGCTATGTGTTTAAGGGTAAGGATGCCTTTGTTGGGGAACTTTTTAAGGGAAATTGGCTCGCATACACTCTGCACATGGAGAAAACCACGAAAACTGCCATGCAGCCAGCCCGTTTGCCGGGATTAGAGACTGGACCGAACTACCAGTTTTCAGCGATTTCACCTCGGCTAGTGGACCCGCTTAAGGATAAATGAGATCGTATAGGTTGCCAAGTATGGTTAACCTTTGTTAGATTTGGTAAGTTGATATTAGTTAAGGCAAACACAAGGGTTATCTGCCAAGGAAGGAATGCCTTTGTGGAAGCTTTATAAAGGAAGTGGGTTGGCTTACATTCAAATTAATGATGTTACAAATGACGAAAACATTCCCTTTCTCCGTGTTAAACCCATAAGCGTTGGAGGAAAGTAAAGAATAGAAACGTATTTTTGAATTTAAAAAAAGATCCAAGTTTTATAAATAAAAGAATTACTCGTATTTCTTCTTAGTCTTTAAACAGCATGTTCATGTTCAATACATCATCCATACACATTCAATACAGATGACATATTTTAGTGTAAAAATATAGCATAAGTTTTAAAAAGTAAGTCATGCGATTCAATAATATTAGAAATAAAAAACAAAATAGGGGGAAAAATTGTTGGTGGGAGAATTTTGGATTTCATATGAAAAAGTTTATAATTTATGAATGTTTTCATTTAATTTTATTTAGTTAATTTTTTTAAAGTTTTGTTTCTTGCATGTGGCAATCGAAAGTTGTGGAAGATTTAAAGCTTTGAACGAAAGTTTTTTAGTGTGTTGAATTCCACGAAGATAGTAACTTGAATATTTTAGTTTATGATGCTGAGTACCCATAATTTGCTATACTGTTTACGTTTAAAACTGACTTCGCAATGCTCTGATCTGATAAGTGTATACATTTATTTACTTAATAATTATTTACAAGAATTGTTCATTCTACTATTTTATGATGAATTATATATATATAGGATTATGCTTTTACTTGCAAAGCTGTTGGACTTTGTTTTACTCATTTAGTATTTTGTCATCTCATTTTACTATTCCATTTACGTAAAATAACGGCGTTTCACTAATGCAAAACTTAAAAATTACTATTCTGTTGACGTTTAAAAATCACATTTTAGTGCTTTCATTGGCCGCCTAAAAAATTCGCCAAATTTTAAAGGCCAAAATAGTTCGGCGCTAACTTACACCGCTTATGGAATTTTAGCCCAACTGTTTTATACTCTCTGTCGCTGACATAAACTAAGAAACGTTTTATACAGAGTAATGGCTGATAATTTAGAACATAAAATCATTTAAGTGTTTTATGGTAGCGTCAACAGATATTATCCTTCTACTGTAACTTTCTGTACATAGAAAGCTTCTACGCACGCAGAAAGGACGGAGAAAATACTTTACATACTTCCCCTTTTAAAGGGCGACTGGGAAATAGGGGACCCAATCGCCAAATCCTGGTGATGAAGAATCATCATCCACCATCTTTTAGTTCAGGCGCCACTGTAGTCATTAGGATTTTCATCTCTCCTGCTTCGAAATAACCTAATGTCTCTACAGAGTTATTAAATTTCTTTTGATGTAACTTTCTGTACCTTCTACTGTAACTTTCTGTACATAGAAAGCTTCTTTAGATTTTGTTACATCTTAAGCATTAGTAGTTGAGCAGATTTCAAAGAACGAGTAAGCTGTATACGTGTAGCCATTATAATTTTGATGGCACAATATTTGAGAGGAACCCACAATACATGTTACCCTGAAGCACATAATATTTATCACCCTGAAGCACACATTATTTGTTTTCTTAAAGACTTTTTGTCTGGAATGCAGTTTATTGAAGTAACTTGTAAAATGGAGGCAAATGACAATGAATTTTTTGCTCTTAGAAAACTTCAGAAAATGAAGGGAGGGGGAAACACTGCTGGACTATTTTGTCAGATGAAACATTCTTCTTCGTCAAGGATAACGTAAACCTCTATGTATATTTGCTACCACTTTCATTATTTTAATGTTTCTTCTGTGTTCTTTACTTTTTATTAAAAGGGCTGTATATCGTGGAGTTATTTATGATGGAAAACGAACGTAGAGATCTTTTTATTAGTGAGTATGTAGAGTATATTCTCATATACTTAGAGTACATTCAGTATAAGGTATTTCTCTCACCTTCTTAGCATGCCTTCGTGGTGTAGTGGCCAGCACCTTTGACGTGAATTCGAGAGTCGTGGTTCGATTTTCGGCGAGAGCATTGCTCATTTTTCATCTCTCCTGCTTCGAAATAACCTAATGTCTCTACAGAGTTATTAAATTTCTTTTGATGTGAGATACAAGAGAAATAAGCAATGCCCTCGCGGGACTCGAGCCTGGACCTCTCGAATTCGCGCCGAGTGTGCGACCGTTACACCACGAAGGCACGCAGAAAGGACGGAGAAAATACTTTACATACTTCCCCTTTTAAAGGGCGACTGGGAAATAGGGGACCCAATCGCCAAATCCTGGTGATGAAGAATCATCATCCACCATCTTTTAGTTCAGGCGCCACTGTAGTCATTAGGGTTTTTTCTTTTTTGATGCGGGAAACATGAAAAGCAATGCCTTCGGAGGGACTCGAATCTGAACCTCTCGAATACGCGCCGAGTGTGCTACCATTACAACACGAAGGCATGCAGAATGGAGGGAGAAAATGCGTTATAAGCATCTGAATAGGTAATATGAACTAAGTCCTAATTCTCCTCAGATGCAGGTATCTGCTGGAGTAGAGCAAACAGGACATGTTTCATTACCTGTTTATTACCTGAAAGGATTCAATTTATTTGTAGAGTAGCTATTAATCTACTGACATCGTGATTCGTTAGTATATTGAAAGTCATCCTACCCTTTTGCATGATGACATCCCATCTATGTTTGTTGTTGTAGATTTCTGTTGCAAACTAGCTAGGTTTGGTTAAATTATTTGAATATGACAAAGCACATAGGAGATTTGCCTTTGTTGAGGACTTTCTAAGCGAAACTGGCTCGTATTCACGGTACACATGGAAAAATCTATGTAAAATAACCATGCAGCCAGCCCGTTCACCTAGGTTCAAACTCGGGACGAACTACTAGTATTCAGCAGGTTTTTAACCGTTCAGCTACTGGCGAGACAAAATTGGTTATGAGATGACTTGTTGGTCATGATATATATAGTATATCGTTATATATTGTTGCTGAATCTTGTGCAGGTTCACACGACCTGCATTAATAAGCATAAGACGCTACAGGGAGACACGTTTAGTACCAGCCAATGCCTTCTATTTTAATATGACAGTTTAATGTGACAGAAGATTGCCCTGGATGAGAAGTGGAAAAGACTGCTGCATGAATACTCTACAATGCTTTAAACAATTTTTTTTAAAAAAATCTGAATCAAATAACTTTGTAAGCCACATTTGCTAGTGTCATACGTTTGTACGATTAATACATACATCCACTATATATTCTTCTCAAAAGGATAACCTCAAGGTATATGTACTTCTTAAAAATGACGAAACCTATAACTATTTGAACAATGTGTATTATTTCCTTATAAAATACTCAAATGAATATTGATCGAAAGAATTTTCTAATCTTACTAGCAGGAATGAAATGTTTTTACGTACTATCGTAACCAAGTTAGCAGAAATCGCCAAAGCTTCAGAATACACCGAAGTGTGGTAACCGCGTCCATAACAAATATTCTGGCAAAAATGTGCATGACAAATATTCAGTTTCCAACGTTGCCATTGTCTTTCCTTTTGTTGTGTTCCAAGTTTTAACGGCTTTTATAGAAAAATTATGATTACGTTTGTCTTAAACTCGACTTTAAAATGTGTGCTTGTAAGATTTTCTTATAGTATAAAAGAAAGAAGAGAATGTTCCGTAAAATTCGCCAAACTGTGCCAGAGTGTTTGTGATAACACGTAAGTACCGAAAAAAATAAAATGTGGTCTTCAGAAATCAGTTAATCATTGCAAAACAAGCAACATTTTTAATTCAGTTGTAGACACGGAGTACATTGAATCTTTCATATTATATCAAACAATCAGTTGATGTTTTACATATTTTGATACTCGCAAGTGATAATAAGATCGTTATTAATATTAAAAAATAGTTGTCGGTTTTAGAAACAGCTTCCACGAAGCCCCTTTTTTTACTAAAATTTAATGTTATATTTAGTCATATTTATCATATACTTTAGCAAAAGCAGGAGCCTTATTTCGTTTCATAGCTAAGTTGTCATAACAATACATTAAAAGTGCCTTTTACCTTTCAGTAAAAATCAAAGAAAGAAATTTAAACAAAGTGAGTTGTGAGTCTTCCGATAATGGCTGCGGATTACTCTATACTTCAAAATGAATTGACTAAGCTCTTATCCGATCTGAAACGAGAGTTACATATGAGGGAAGTTCGTAAGCTGGCCCAAAAGCATCAGGGACTAGCCAAGAACGTTATGCAAAAGTAAGTAAAAAATACAGTATTTCATTGCGATAAATTTCATATTAAAAATATTCGTTGTCTGAAGCATTTATTTGTTATTTGGAAAAGTTCTTGAATACATGAAATGCTATAAAAAATCGGAACTGGTGTGTTATTCCAGATTTTTTTTTATCCTGTAATTTTCCTCCCCTTAGGCAGATAGCCCTCGTGTACTTTGCCATAACTCAACACACCACCACACCACACCTTTTTTGGAAACCTAAGCTTAGTTTCAAGAATTCTTTCTCAATTTATGAGCATCAAAGGAGATTTTTAAGTGTCGTAGTCAAGCGAAACATATGACTTCAAACTGCTGAACAGATCGAAATTATTCAAACGTTAAATGTGATGAAATAACCTTGAACAATGATTTGCGAAATATCTCCAACCAGGAGAGGGAGCGAGACCATTCAGTTTTAAAATCGTTATTCTGGTCAAATTTTTATTTTATAAATGGATCACACACCAGTATCACTCGTAACATCTTCCTGCAATCAAGTATTAAGTTATTAATAATATTTAAATTATTAACCAAACTTCGGAATATCTATTCGCATATTAAGAGTGTAGGTTTATAAGAAATTGTTTTATCTATTTCAATTCAAAAACTTAAGAAAGGTGAAATAAGAAATTTCCTTTTATTTGTTCCGTAATAAATATTGGCACAAATCCTCTTAGAATTTAAGAACTGATTTTTAACTTTCCTAAATACGAATAACTTTAAATATTTGGTTTTTACTTTAATTACTTATCAGATTTAATTACTAATTTTATTTTTATTTAATAATTATATTTACTTTAGGCAACATCGTTAATTAGATTGTTTAAGGTTAGGCAAAGCAAAAAAGCAGAAAATATAGCTCACAAAAGTTTTCATTGGAACACACATGTGGCAATGCACGGTTATTCGGTTAAGAAATTGATGTCGGGGACATCTTTGTTGCTAAAAGGAAAATTTAAACAACAATTGCAGCCTAGTTTTGTTATTACTTCCTGTTCAGTTTCGGATTAGCAAACAGCAGTTTTAATTGAAATACTGTCACATTCAGCTATTTTGTGTTTATTAATAAAAATAACACAAGTGATTTTCCTATCCTAGAAGAGGAAGTAAAAAGATAGTATGCTATCAACTGTACATATTTTTCATCACTAAGGGACTTAGCGCTTACAAGAGAGACAACTAAGGGAAAAAATATCCTTCAGTATTTTACTCGGTGAATTTTAAAACATATTTGTCTGGTATAGGTTAAAAGATAGTTTCGAAGTTTAAACGAGCGAGATCTTTAAAAATAATTATCATCACTTTTGGCATTAACTTTTATTTTGGCTTACATGCTATTGATTGTGGGTGTCAATTTGTTACATATATTATATTTTGTTATTACAGTTAGATAGTGTTCTCGCTGAAATATGAAAGCCACTTTTCTGTGACATAAAAATCAGTTCAATATATTTCCGTAGTAGAGACATACAGTGACATCTAAGTATTCATAACCCAGCTTTCTACTTTTAAGAACAGGTAGACATTGTTATAGCAAGGCAGAATATTTATTTAGAACTAATCTTTATCTGTTCTGTTTCGAGTTTTTGAATACTTCTGTAGTATTCAAAAATTCAAATATAAGTTATAAAAGTTTAATGAACCAAATAAAAGTGTTACGATTTTACAAAGCACATTCTGTAAAAAATATGGAGTTCGTTGCAAATAAAATGTTGGTCATTATGGATCGTTTTCAAACAAATGTCAAAGACATAATAAACGTAGAGAAAATATTTCAGTTACCTGATCCTCTGGATGAAAATACGTTAGTGGAGCTATTCAAGGAAGCGTTCAGAATTGTTTTCTATAATTATGCATGTTAATTCAGCAGTGTTTTAAGCATATTATGTTTAATCCACCTTCGAAGATCAAGAAGGATAAAAATGACGAACCATTAATTAAGAAGACATATGACATTGAAAAGAAGACATTGAAAAGCAAGACATATGTTGTACTCTTTTCGCATAGCTATTATGTCAATGTATAAAGAACATAATATAGTGTGAAACAAGATACACCAAACGCAAAGCAAGTGAATAACACATGACCTATAAGGGAATATTTTACGATAAACCGAAGCAGAAATGGATTTGCTTTGGATTCAGTTTATCTTGGTCCACGCGAAACTTTGGCATTTCATTTTGAGCCAAAAAACAGACAGCAAATAGCACTTGTTGCTGTGACTGAGCAAAACTGAGAGATATGCCTTACAATGTTAGGTCTATGGCGATGGCAAACAAGAAAATGCGAATACGCGACCTAGTAGCACGACATACGGTCATTATTCACAACTTCTCAACTTAACTATCGGCAGTTGCGTAGGAGCGCGTAATTTGGTTTACTCAAAATGTTTTCATGTAAAAAACAATGTTAAGCCATGGACCGGAACAAAAGAGGCGATGGATGAGATTTCGCCTTTTGCAATTATCTACCGACCTCTGATATGGATCACAAATCGTTGTTTAAAAGAAATGAGATACATATTTAGGAACATATATACACATACGCTTTTGAACAAAAACCACGATAAATTCCTTCTTACTAAGCCACACAAAAAGATCCACAGTTAAAGCAGCCGGTAAAAGAAGGCTTTGTCAAATATTAGAATACAGGTCATCCAGTATTTAAGTAATAAAGGCTCAGGTGCTTTTATAACAGCACCTGAGACCATAATTTGTAACTTGAATGCGAGTCAGTTTCCCTCAGAATACCCTCCACGAAGGCATCCTTTCTATTAAGACAGAAGCTGTCATGGTTTTGCCATATTCAAATAACCTAACTTGACATGCATCATCTCAGATGTCTAAAAGAAAGGCTACCTTCTTGGAGGAACGAGAAAAGAAAATCCACCTTCTCGTAACCCTAATACAAGATGTCATTCAAATTCTGTAAGCTGTTGATACTGCCTTCGTGTCCTTTAACCCTTTGAGCCACAGTGTGTCCGGTCTGGACACACCTAACATTTTCTTCTGTACGCAAAAAAAATTGAATGAAAAAGGATTTATAGGTTACTATAGGTTATCTTCTTAATTTATATTAAATGGCAGCTCAACACAAACAAGTCCATATATTTTAGCCATGTTTAGTTTTTTTAAGACCCTCATTTTTAAAAGAAATCTTCCAGATTTTTTTAAGGTATAAAAGGAATTGTTTGAAAAGAAATTTCTATGTTATTTTTTTGGCTGTATGCTAATATCCTTATTCTATATTAGTTTTAAATTTTTACCTTGAAATCTTGCTTAAAATCAAACGGCGAACCCTAGGTCTGCCCACACCGGGCTCACCGGTAATCTAGGGCAACTGAGATTCTGTATTCTTTGTTTCTCCACATCTCATCGGTCAGTTCATTGACAACAATGCTCGTTTCAGCACTTTTTTCGAAGCTGTATTCAATCAGTGTGCCACTTTGGGCATCCACAGAATTAAAATAGTGCTATCTTCACAAAATTTTACTTGTGTACTCTTCTAGGCCTAGTTAGACTGCCCAAATTTTTTTTTTTATCAAAACTCCAACTTTAAAAGGTAGCGTGCCGGAAAGGGTTAAAGCCTCCTTGAACTAAATTTTGCTCACAACGCCCAGTCCGAAAGATAAATAAAGCACGCAAAGCTTACATCACGTATTTAAAACAAACGAGATTTGTGTGTTCAAAGTGACGGTAATAGCGCCACATTAATTCCTACACAGCAAAACGTGAATAGATGTCATCTTTGATACGCCTTCCAATTTCATTTATCTAGCACAAATCCTTCTTCATGTTGGTATTTCGTTTTCCATCAAGGTATTTCTGCTCTGTTATTAAAGATATAATTATTGAAAATTCTCAGAATTTTAAGGTTTGCCACAATTTTTAATTTTACAAGAAATAAAATGTTCCACATGGCATTAGAAATAGGTATAGTATTTGTGGGTGATTTGCGATGCATAACTGCGTTTGATTTTGATATTTTCAGAAAAAGACTCTTCTAAACATTCGATTTTAGGAAGTTGCCAAACAGAAATACTTCTGTAGATTTGTTTGGCGAAAGGAATATTTCCATGTCAAGTGTATAGATTAATAGTGATTTGTCTAAATGAATTTTATTTTTAATACAATTAATAAAGGTATAAATTACCAAAGTTTTCTGGAATTCCAATTAAAAACTAAAGTTGAGTAATATATCGTTTGTTACTGTTTTTGAAATTTGATAAATAGTAATTGATTCTGCTTTAAATAAGCTGCCAGGACTTTATTTTATTATCTTAGTGTTTAGTTTTCCTTTTAAACTGTACTATCATAGATAAATAGTTAACCCAGTTTCCTGCTTTCTAACAATTTACTTTTCAACGATCTGTTCTTTCAAAACTTTTCGTTTGTAAGGATTTATTATTCGATTCATAAGTGGCTCTTTTGACTAATTTCGAGATCTTTTCAAAATTTAAATGTAAATCCCTTTCACATTTTAATGTTCGAAGTATGACAATTAAGTAACGAGAATTCTTTTGTAACTTCAGTATTGGAACAAGTACAACGCAGACCTAGCAAAGCAAGTACATCACAGGGGACGTACCACTACGCTGCATTCGGCGGGGGGGGGAGGAGTCAGGGATTTGTAAACTTCTGCGAAACCTTGTCGCAGAAATTGTGCATATACGGGAAAAATAGTCTAAAATTTTTAATTGCCTGGTATGTGTCGTGAAACACATAATTTGTAACTTGAATTTCACAAATGGGTTCATCGATTCATAATTCTTCCAGAACATTTTTGATATTCGTGATTTGGTAGAGAAAGTGTTTGCTACCAAACCACATAGTTAATAATCAGATTATTTATCGCGCACTTTGGAGTGTTTAAAATCAGAATTGTTGTTGGCGTAATTCCAGAATTGGAACACGAGGGCTATCTGCCTAAGAGGAGGGATGCCTTCGTGGAGCACTTTCTAAGGGAAAACTGGCTCGTATACACGTTACACATGGGGAAAACCGCGAAAACACCCATGCAGCCAGCCCGTTGGCGGGATTCGAACCTCGGACCGAACTACCAGTGTTCAGCGACTTTACCACTCGGCCGCTGGTGGGCCCGACCTGCTTTTGCATCGGTAGAAATTGTGAAGCAAGGGCGCTGAAATGAAACGGTACTATTAGGTAATACTGAGTTTCAGCTAATCGTACAGGTGTTCTATTTAATTATCGAACCTCCTAATTTAATGTTGATAAAATTTACTATTTGAATTTTGTATGTATTTGTAAAGGACATACATCTGCTGTTTAACACTTTACCTCGATTACTGGTGAAAAGATTGCGTACCAAAACGTCATGGAGGAAACAATGCGAGTGGGAAGTAGTACAAAACATTGCTGGAGAAAAGAAAGCAAAGAGAAAATATCGCAGTTCTAAAAATCGCGGTATAAAACATTGTGGTAAAAGTTCAGAGTTTTAAAACGTAGTTGAACAAAATCTTTTGGTGAAACAAATAAAGCACCTACTAATCATCACATGACAATATCTCAGGCATGCGTTTTGTAACTGAAAAAAATATTTTAAAGTGAATTTTTGCCTAATGCTTTGGGAGCACAAAAAGAAATATGTAGTATTTTAACTCTATATTTTATATTTTTCGTATTAATTAAAGTATTTTTGCTGAATAAGCAGAGCGGAAATTTAAGAATTCAAAATTTGGAAATTTGTAAAAACTAAAGCTACGTTAGTAGCATTTTAAAACTTTATCTTCCTCTTTCTTAACTTTTTATACTATATTATTCATTAAAAATCTACTAATAATTTTAGAAAAGAAGTTAATTAAATACTGACTTTTAATAATTAGCAATATAAGTTTAAAACTATGTTAACTGCTATACGTAACAGTAAATGTTCCTAATTTCTAGATATTCAGTGCTTAAGTTTCCTTTTCGCTTTTCAATAGAAATTAATTAAATAAAAAAACATGAAATATAGAGGTAAAGATATTACTTGTTATGCAGTAAAGCTCTTGTTAAGCTTGTATTCACAAATCATTACACGAAAATTCGTTTATAATTTTTACAGTCAGAAAGCATATGATCTGCGACGTCATCACCATGCGATGTTTTTAGGTGCTTTATTTTTCACCGCGATATTTTGTGCGATCATGTTTTAAAACTGCTAAGTTCTTATCGCGCTTTATATTCTGCAGCGCTTTATATTCTACAGTGCAATTCTTGTTTTCTTTCTGCCAAGGTGTTCCTTTGGGTGATAATGTTTTCCCCTTGCATTGTTTTCGTTCTTGATATATTTACAGAGGCATTTCCGGCGAACACCCTTTTCCTTGACTCAGGTATATTTCAAAGTTAGAGAAAAGACAGAGGTCACATTTCAATGATTTATTATTTAGTTTATCTGTGGTTTCAAACTTCAAACTTCAAATAAACAAATAAACAAATAAACAAAACAAACAAAAAATAAAAATGAAAAAAAAATGAAAAAAAAAAATGAAAAAACGACTATAAATGAAAAATTATGCTTCAAAATGTAACTTGTTTGATACGTACACAAATAAGAATAAGACTGTAAAATCTACGACATAGAGTTTTAAGTACCTAATTACTAATAAACTACAGATTCATATTTGAAATTTATTTGGGTTATTAGAGAAGTAAGAAAGCTGTTCGCAATCTCAGATGTATTATGTAGCTCACAATAGTAATGTAGAAATAAACTGCCGAAAGCACAGCAGCTAAACGCTTTTGTAAGTAGCCGAAGAATTAAAGCACAGTAAAATTTCCCTTTGAACTCAATTTTAGAAATGTTCTCTTATGCTAGAGTATATGCCCTGAAAAATGACATTAATTTTTTTCGATAAGAATAAATTCATAGAATTTAACTGATTTTTATGCATTTCATGATCAAGGTTTTAACTTTGAAATTAAATATAATAAACAGTGTACAAATCGGTTGTATTTTGATTGCAAACGTTCTTCAGGCCACTGAACTAACAAGTTCTGATTTTAGTTCTTCTGAGATGACTGTCCTATCCCGGTGGAATCTTGGGATCCTTTTGGAATACTGAATAGAATATGAAGGTATAAAGTCCTAATTTTGATAGCATTGCTGTGTATATTATTCATGGCGGTTTCTTCATCTATGCAGCATAGCAAATAGTGTCAAGAAAGCGAGATGCAAAATGCATGGAAGAAGCTAATTGGCCGGACGAAGTGTGAAGAAAGGAGAGGGAGAGCCTCTTTTTAAACCATACATAATTTTAAAGAAAAATCCGAAAAACTGTTGAAGAAGGGGAATTAAAATAGCAGAAAATATTACGTAAGATAAATGTATAAATCGTGAATCTGAAATTCAGTATCTGCTCTAAGATTGTAACTTTTCAGTAATATTGGCAAAATGCTACCATACCAATAAATATTTTCCTGAGAGATGGTATATTTGAATGTGTTTCGCGTGTCGAATATTCACATATTAGATTCGGCTATTTAAATTTGGTGGTGGTGTCGCCATCTCTTGTTCAGTATTGGAAACATACATAACACAGTTTTAAACTTATATTGCTAACTATTAAAAGCCAGTATTTAATTAACTTCTTTCATAAAAGTATTAGTAGATTTCAATGAAAAGTATAGTATAAAAAGTTAAGAAAGAGGAAGATAAATGTTTAAAATGCTATTAACGTAACATTAGATTTTACAAATTTCCAAATTTTGAATTCCTAAATTTCCGCTTTGCTTATTCAGCAAAAATACTTTAGTAAATACAAAAAATATAAAATATAGAGTTAAAATACTACATATTTTTTGTGCTCCTAAAGCATTAGTTCATCCATAAATCAAAACAAATAGCGTTAAAAGAACTCTTTCTCTCTCTATATATATAGTAGCAAGAATCAAACAATCGGGATGATCTGTTTAAAGAAGCACTAAATACACCCCTTAACTGAAATTTAACATAGCAGTAAAAACTTGAAGCCACCTTCGTTACGTTTAATAATTTTTACATTTACTCCGCGAAGAAGAAGACTGTGAATTAAAATTTAAGATTCTAGAATTAAAGTTTCATTTCTATGCCGTAAATAATGTTTGCACATACTAAGGCTTTTTAAATTCGTTAAATTAATATTCATTGTTTCACCTTCCCCTCAGGAAATTGATTAAAACGTTGGATAATCAAGTGAAAGAACTCCAACCAACAATCAGCAGGCTGTACAGCTACCATCATGCTTTGAAGGACAATGAGATCAAAGGTTACTTGATTTATTTACTGCAGATGAAAGAACATTTTACAAGAGAAGTGGCTACCAAGCAGGAAATGATCGCACAAAGAAAGCATCAAGTAAGAACTCCCATTATTTACTAATTAAAGGCAAATTTTAAAACCTCTGTTAAATAATATTAAACTTATATTTAGTTGACAATGTGATTTTTAAACTCGAATAATTTATTGATTAAGTTCGAATAATTTTAACTGTATTTAAGTTATCAAACATTTCCATCAGCAGATATAAGTAGGTATTATTCAGAATTGCAAAAAGTGAAAAGCTAAAAGAGATTAGATTTTAACAGCTGCTCAAAAAGGTTATTTTTTAATTTTTTTAATATGGTTTTAAAGTTTAATATGGTTTATAAGTAGAAATTATCAACAGAGATGGCAAATATTCAATAATGAAATATTTTGTAGGATACTCGATGAAGAAACAGAGGATTTTTAAACAGTTTTAGATAAAAAATTGTAAATAATGCTTTTTTTTTATCTTTGACATAATATCTTTTTTTCTGGACCACAAGTCTGCATCGTGATTTTCAAGATAGACAAACTTTTCGTAAAAGTTTCAGGGGTATCGATTTTCATTCCTCTTCCACTTCTTTTCAGTCTCTGTGAATCTTGGTAGGTATGCTTGGTAGGTTAGAAAGAGTTTTTTTCAAGAGACAAGAGGCACAGTAGCTTATAGGTGAAAGGTCAGGGGACTTCGCTAGAATACGTTGAAAAACATATTTGCAATGCCTGTATCAGTCTTTATTTTTTCAAGGAATGCAGTGGTACATTTCGAAATACAACTTATTGCTTTGTCTTGATGAAGTCTCACTCCTTGAGTTCGAAATACGACTTATTGCTTTGTCTTGATGAAGTCTGACTCCTTGAGTAACTGGCATAACGAAATAGAATTTCTTTTGTAAAATTGGACGTAAATTTTTCTCTTGATAGTACGTTGAATATATTTTTAACATTTTTTACTATTCTTATTTTTAATGCCTCATTGTAATAATAAACCACTTACTGAAACTTTCTTTGCATTGATAGAACCAGATTTGTACATTTTTTCCCCTCTTCATTTCCGATTATAAACAGGCATTTTTTTCCACTCATTTAGTTAAACCCATCCTTCGTCAGGAATCACTATAAGTAGTTCTAAACAGGGTTCTAGACATTGTTCTGCTTTGAGTCGCATGTCTTGGCAAAAGATGCTGAAAATTATGTTTTTTAGATTTTTTTTATGTTGTTAATTCCAGATTTATTATTTTATTTATTGTTGTTACAGATGAATTTAAAGACTTTGCAGTTGATTGCTGCGTCGTCGGATTTTCTCTTGTTACCCAGAAAGACAACATACCTTTTTTAAGCATTCGCTTGGCGTCTTCTTCACATGTAGAAATAACAGTTGACAGATTTTCCCCATTCAGATGAATAATGTTGCTTATTTTTCACTCAGAAATTTTAATACCATGCATTTTACAATGTTTTTGAATTATGGAACAGATATATTTCTCTTCGGTAAGCGAAAAAACATATCTTTCAATCAACTTGTTTACATCCGACATTTTGAAAGAACAATAAATTTAAAAGTAGCAGACGATATTTCTCATTTCAAATAGCGAACTGTTGCCAAAATGTTTTTCCAAAACATTAGCCTTTTTTATTTAAATTCTTTATTTGTTTTAAATATGTGTAAATACTCTCTCCACATTTTGACTAGCAAGGGAAACGTTATATATCTTCTGTATATCTGAAAAGTGGAAAAATATGTGACATATTTCCATAAAAATATTTAATGTCTTTAATTAGATACATCAAGAATTAAATGCGTTTTACAATGACATTAAAAAGTTTAAAAAAGAGTTCTTACGAACTGCATCTTTGTTTTTGAATAGCTTAATTGTTAATCAACAACATTAAAACTTAAATGCCCGGTCCTCACCTCAAGGAAGAGGCATGAAATCTGAAAGAAAAATGTGTTAACTTTTCCTCTGAATGAAAGTAGACTCGAATGAAAAGTGAAACAATGCATTTACTGCAGACGACGTTTAAAGTGAATCAAAGCAAAATCGTACTACAAAATTCTTTGGCCTTTTTTTAAAAAAAGACATGCATACGTTCCTATTTTTACGGGGACTAAAAAAAATTAGAAATTATACATATGAAGCTTTTTCAAAGAACAGATTCAATTAGTTACCTTAGAAATTTCCAACAGGGGTAATTTAGGCAATTCAATCTATATCAAGCTTGCACATGGAAGAATATCTAAAATCCAAAAGATAAAAAAGAAGTGATATTATCTTGTCAGTATTAAGTTAATAATTTCACTAAAATTTTATTTATGTCTGAAAGTGATTTTCATGTTCTATTACTCAACTTTGAAAATGCTACATACAGAACAATTTAGTCTTTTTAATATTTGCATTTGTTGCCGACAAACTTTTTATTTTACGACAGAACACAAGAATCAGTATTTTAACCTCCCCTCCTCTTGCTTAAAACTCGTGTAATTTGATTTAAATCTGATATTCAGAAAATAAAGCAATCAGACTTGAAATCTGGAGAAAGTAGCATTTGAAACATATTTTGTGTTAAGGACGGAATACAGATGGCGCCACATACTATTAGGGCAGATTTTGGCGGAATTCGCGATGTGATTGGAAATCATGAAGGTGTTAATTTAGTGCATTTAATTGAAAAACAACAAAAAGATACAATTGAATTTTAATATTAATTGCAATTCAATTTTTAAATAACGCTATATTTCATTTGTATTAAAAGATGACTATTTAAAAGCAGATGTTCAGAAATTTTTGAATATTTATATTTTTTGGGGAAATATGCTTTTAAAGTAAATCAGTAAAAATGAATCAGATTAAAATTTATTGAGCTAGAAAGCTTGTAAGCTTGTTTAAAAAACAGAAAATATAGCTATGCAGTAAAGTTACTTAAAAACGTGCAGTACTGCTTTTTATTTCCTTGTACAAAGTAAAGGAAGTATTGTAATCGCGATTCATTTCAACCGCTCTCGAAAAGATTTGAATGATGTTGTTCTTGCGTGACATCTGTACGTACGGACAGAACAAGAGACTGTTTCTGTCAAAAAAGGAAGTTTTAAGAAAATATAAAAACCAATAGTTACCACCTTTATTTTATAGAAATGAATACTTTAAGTAGGATTTGGAGAAAAAATGCAAAAACTGTAAGTTTTGTTATCGTCAAATTTTATTAGCAATTTCGATGACAATATCCAGGAGAGTCTATCAATGTCTAGAACTCGTTTGCCCGATTCGTTGAAGTGACGAGCGATCGGATGGATGGAAATGGGGATGTCGCAAGCTGGTGCTACTAGACGTCTCAATGTCTCTCGTAGTGTAGGTCCACCGACTACGAAATCAGTTTGAATTCGAGGATTCTGTGTCTAGAAGAAATGTTTCAGGTAGACCTAGAGTTACAACACCTGCGGGAGACCATTATTTAGCTCTTTCAGCCCGAAGGAGGAGTACCATTAATGTGCCTCAGCTCAATTTATCAGTCTAATAGGTTTCAAGTACTTTGAGTTAAAATTACACAGTCAGTATTTTATAAAGTAATTATGCAGTACATACATAATTACACAAATATTGCGCAATACAGGGATTCTCAAAAGTAAAGTATATAAGTCTGCATACCTCTTTGTTCAATGTGCCTGCGATAGCTGAAGTATTCTACACTGCGAAAAAAAAAAAAAAGTGGGGGACAGTTTTCTATCTCCCATTCTAGTAAGCTGATTGACGAAATCCAACTTGCGTTTTTCATGACTCGAAAGCGCGACTTAAGATATAAATTAGATTTATATTTTGCATTGTTCTAAGGTACGTATTGTGACACAAAATGCGTCTTTTTCTGAAATAACGTACCAATGTTTTTCCATATTTTGATTCTGCGATTCAAATTGTGCCTAAATATTAAATTTTTTAAAATTTGGTGCGAAATTTACGGAGAAATTCAAAAATTTAGCTTGCAGCATTTTTTTCTATTTGCTCCAAGAATAATTCACTTCGCGAACTTTTTAATATATGGCAACCTATTTTCCTTTCCCTTCCATCGTGCAACATCAAATCTTTCCTACTTTCAAATAATTTTAACAAAGTGCGTAAACCATATTAGATGTTATTATCGCTTTCAACAAATATGCCAAATTTCAAAACGTGCCAATATATAAAATCACGTATATCTTCGGAAATTTTGAATAAAAAGCTCTAATTTCTTGCATGCATACTTAGAAATGCATCTACTTTAAGATGACGGTAAAAATTTTATAGGTTATATTTCAAAAGTTTTTTCCAAAAATTTATAAATATTATTTTAAAATAAATCATAAAAATGGGTGAATTTTATTTGGAATGAACCTAAATTTCGAAATGTGAAAGGAGAAATCAAGTAAAGGTAATTAAGAAAAAGATATTTATAAATGCATATATAAATCTAACATATATCCCAAGTCGGGCTTTTGAGACATGCAAAAACGCAACTTGAATTCGTCAATCGGCCCAGTAGAACGGGAGATATAGAACTGCCTTTTTTTTTTTTTTTTTTTTTTTTTTTTTTTTTTTTTTTAGTCCAAAGGGCTTAGTTCCTGAAGAGCTTTGTTTTCGTTTTGTGATTTTGCTTTGAATCATTATAAACGGCGAATCTCTTTTCAAATTGTTGCCACCAAATGCTAATTTCAAGAAATTAAACAATGAAAAATCTGCAGAAATGTGTGTATAGTTCTCGCACTGTGATAAAACAAGGGTACATAGAGCCATCGAGTTTTGAATGACGTAATCTTCATACGAATATGGGCATGTGGAAGACCAAATTTAAAATTTGGAATTTGTTTTATTAGTCCAAAGGGGCTTTGTTCCTGAAAGACTATTGTTTTCCTTTTGAGATTTTACGCTAAATCACTATAAATGTCCGTTTCACCTTTCAAACTGTTGCCACCAAATGTTAGAGTCCTGCATTATATTTGAAGAAATTAAATAATAATAAAAAAAAAGTCTGGAAAGTTTCAAATTTTAAATTACGGCCAAAGAGGTGTATCCTGGTTTCCTTTG